AGCCGCCTCCCCGAAATCGGTTCCCCTCCGCCGGCGGCAAAATAAAAGTGCTGCGCCGGAGGATGCGGCCGTTGTTGCTGGATGGAGGGAGTCGGGCACTTTTGGCATCATGGAGGTGGGGAGGAGAGAGGGGCCGACACCGGAGAGTTCGTCCCCGTGGAGAAGGCGCCCGCGGGGGCGGCCGGTTTTACGGCCAGAAGTGACAGGGCGCCTTACGGCCACCACGGAATGACTGCAACTTTCTCCTGTCCTCCATCACGCCTTAGATGATAATATTTTTCTCCTCCCTCCCCTGCTCCTCCCCTCTTGTGTTACACCGACAGCGACAGCAGGGTGTTGTGGGTGTTTGCAGGGAATATCTGTATGAAGGTTATGAGCAAACAAGTCCCTTCGCGATTCCCTTTCGGGTATTGTCTGGTTTTCCTCCTTGCGTTGAAATGTATTGCCACAAGATGTAGCAGTTATACAGCTAGTGAATTGTTCGGTGCTTTTAGCTAAAATAACTACTTGCTGAACGCCGGTTAGTGGCAGAGAACTTTTATACACGGATACTTGCATACCGAGCAGTTGTATAATTTTACTTGATTTGCCCTAGTTTAATGAATACCATCTAGCATTTCTTGTAGCGTCTGGAAACCGTCATCACCCAAGTAGGAAACTTGCTAACTTAAAATAGCAATCATAGTGAAAACGGGGAGTCTTTGTTTTTCAGGTCTTCCTGTATCTGCCTGCTTGCTTTTTTTTTTTTTTTTTTTTTTTTTTTTTTTTTTTTTATAAGCGATGTAAGGACTTGGTAACAGGGATTCGACATCCTGAAAACATATAACGCAGTCCATGTTTCTCCATTTTCCACGCCAGTAGTTGTCAGACTTGGATCACTCTGTGTCACTTTTGCACACGCTCCTGCAGGTAGATTGACATGAAATGCTCTAGAAAATACCTGGAAAGGAATTATGGTATATGTTAAAGATGCTGAGTAAAGTGGCAGGCATTTTGTGCTGGTCTTCTCTGGGAAACCGAAGCTCATAGAATAACAACAACCATCGGCCAAATATGCAGTCTAAGTTTATCAAGAGTAGGTTTTCTCAGTGTCGCAACACTTGTTATGAATATGCGTGCATATAATATTTATGTAGCGTGTATATGTACGGTATTTTTGGACGTATTTCAGATACAAGCCTGAAATTATTATGCAGCACAACTTACCTATTTATTTTGAAGAAAAATTGTGTTCCTTGAGTACCTCTATTTAGACAAGAAAAAATATTTTTGTGAAATTAATTTTTAATGTGATGATGGTGATACTTTTTACTTTTTTCTTTCTTATGACTCATGCTGTTGGATATTTCTGGGTGCTGTAATTGACATCCTCTAGTACAGATTCAGGGGTTACAGATAATCAAATCCCTGGTGTTTGCTTGGTACTACATTGTACTGTATTTGCACAGTTTTTCTGGGTTGTGATAATTGTGTATCCTCACTAGGTAGCTCAGTTTAAAAATCGGCATAAGCCACCCGGCACGCTTGGGTTTATATTTTGCATTCATGCTTGTGGGATGTTATCGGCACCCCTTACTTTATATATGTATGATTTGTAATGAAATATCTTGCCTGAAATCAATGGGCCCTGAAATATAAACACATCAGTATGTTCATAGACATTGTCTTATATATGTGAAAGAATTAGATCACATTAATAAGCATGCAGTATTTGCAGTGCACTGTATTTATAAGAGTTTGAACTCTCATCCATTCTGAACTTGTGATACCATGTGATGTTAACAGAGGTTATGAGGTTTGGAGCAGTGCACAGGGCTGCTGGCCTGTACCAGATCAGAGCTACATGTCTGCTAATGCCCGTGCCGTTTTTGAATGGATAATATTTCCAGATGTGGTGCATTCTGCGCTTGGCCTGAGCTTGTGGCCCATCCTGGACTTGTCATTTGTGGATTCAAATCCCTTTGGTTGACTTCTGTGACAGTTACGCCCATGTTGCCTTCAGATGTGCAGGCCTTCGCTGAGTGCACCATGTGTGCTGTGGTTCATCTGACCTTACCTGTGATTCAGTGTGAAAGTTTGGCATGAGCCCACATCTCTCATGTGATCAGAAAATGATCTCTCATATGATCTTTTAAAGGTTCTGATTTATTATGAACAGAAAGCCCAGCATCCTTATTTAGGAAGTCCTAAAATTATTCTCTGAAGCTCTAATATGGAGAAAGCAAGAAGAAAAGCTCTGGCATATGTAAGTATCACACAAAGTTATATTTTTTTAAAAAAATGCAATGCCTTGTCAGTATCAAAAAGGAACTACTTGGGAAATACAGGTGAAATTGAAGAAAATAATCTTTTTTGAAATGCACTATGACTTTGCAGCAACATTTTTAATTGGATGTTACCTTCCATATCTTGACTTACAGGGGCATCATGGCTTAGCTGTATAGATTTGAATCTATGTTCTAAGGCTTTAAAATGAAAAGACTTGGGTGGACTTGAATCCAGTTGCATCTGTACACTTTTATTATTGTACCAGGACTGTCTTTTATTGCATTTCAGTGTAGCTTGTAAATGTCTGTAGTTCTGTCAACTGTTTTATATGCCAATAACTTATGTGTGGGATATGTGGTCTCTTATTCAACAGCCCTGCAGTACATGTTATCAGGAATTTGGGAGGACTGTTATGTAGTATTATTTTACATACAGTATGTGATTGTGTGGCTAAATCTTGTGCCACAGCTCACATAATTGCAGTCACGCAACTTCATGTTTGAAGTTTGTTGACTTTTGACTGCTTTATGCATGTAACTAAGGACCAGAAGTGCATAGCTGGAAAGTGCTGTTTTGTAAATGAGGGTTGTTCAGGCCATTGCTGACAAGGCAGAGAGACAGAAGAGATTTTGGGAGATACAGATGAGTGTCTTGGAATAGCTTCTCTTTTGAGGTTGGGGGTAGTGCCACAGTGTCTGGTAGTCAAGCATGATGCTTGCAAGCTATTTTTTTGTGTGCCGTTGGCTTTGAACACTTTACTAAAAGCAAAACAGAATGCCAAATACAACTTTGAACTAGCATAACAGTAATGTGAATTTTAGTTTTCATATTTGAGCCTCAGTTAACATATGATGACAAAATCCTAAACAAACTCATGACGTGTATTTGATGCTCTTTGAAGAACTAATGTTGTAGGTGTAGCAAATTTAATTGGTGACTTTAAAAAATTGATAAATTTATATTATTTGTATTTATTGTTACCTAAAATGTGGTGGTAGTTGTTCGTCTGAGCATAAAGGTACAATTTATTTCCCCTTTAAGTTTCTAGTCTAGAAAACGTGTCTAGATGCCAGGTTGTCACATATGCTACATACAGTACATGAACATGAAAGCTACATGATCCTATTAAAACTTCTAGGGTTATTTTTTTCTGTTTTTTGCTTTTAGTGTAAAAACTCAAGTGCTTTATTTGCCTAACCAGTAAGTTCTCAGTAAGTTTGGGGTTTTTTTTATCGTTCAACTGTAGATTGAGAATATTATGGATTTGTCCGGTTTATGTGGGAGCAGAGAAGAATAGGAACACTTCACATTTAAAGATGATGATCTGTTTTTACTTAGGATGAACACAGCAATCATAAAAGATTGTTTCGGCTGGCTGTAGTGTGAGCAGGTATTGTATAAGAAAGACATCATGTTGTCCCACTGATACACACAGATACCAGCTTCTGATACTATTGCTGGTTTTGTTCCAGGTGTGTTTCTCATAGTGAGCTGATGCTTTTGCCAGATTCTTAGGAGATTTTATACCATGCCCAAATGAGACATGGGAAAATATGACTTTTTTAATTTTTTTTTTTTTAATATAGGCCGTTGTTTGAATCTGGTTTTCTAAAAGGCAGGTGCTGCAGAGAATAGAGCACATTAGTACTTGGGTGATTGTTTTGTTTTAATTCTGTTTTAACTTGCCTAGAATGGAATTTCCCATTAACTTACTCCATTTTAAATGGGGAGAGAATCAGTATCTTTCAGGACAGGCTGTATTTATTTATTATTATCTCCATTCAAATAAAAAGGTTGTTATTTCTCTCATTGTGTTTTTCCTATACTTTTTTCTTGCTTTTTCTTTCAGCAAGCTGAAGTAAACTTGCTTATTAGTAATAACTCTGGTCTGCAATTAGTCTTGACATTTTTTTTCCTTAGAGTTTGGTAATCCTAAATGATTGCAAAATACTGTTGGGAAAGGGTACTGTATATATGTGCATCACAGTCATAGTTAGATCTATAGATCTTTGCTACCTGAAGAATGGAGATTATGGAAATATGACAGACTTAAATAATCCTTTATGCTTTCTGTGTTCTTGATACAAGGTTGTGTTTTGAAGTAGTACTTGCTTCCAATCCAGATTACTCCTATACTAAATTTCTTGCCCGCATGCTGAGTTTTTTTATACAATAAAATGTTGAAGTTAGTAAATTGTGTTTATGCAGTAGAGTGTTTCCTGAACTGTAGCTTCCCTAAAACATAAAAGCACATGAGGGGGGAGAAAAGCTTTTCTTTATGAAATTTATTAACTTCTTTCTGTTTGGCTTGGTGTCTTTCAACTGTAAAAGAGGAAAAGGGAAATTTGGTTTGCCAGATTGCTCTAAGTGGGTGGATAGAGGAAGAAGAGTGATCAGGGTTTCTGTTGAGAATGCGGGTGCTCCAGTTGTGATTACTGGAGCAGGGTTAACCAGAAGCTGGCCGCCATAATATAACCCAGTTTCTCGGGTGGGCTTGGAAGTGGAAAACTAATGGTTGCTGAAGATAACGAGGGAGAGGTACTGCACTTTACGTTCAGTACTTAAGGATTGAGTTCAGTAGCAGTAGAGAAGGGTTAGTGAGCATCAGAAGGTGTTTTGGATCCCATGTTTCCCTTCATCTTGACTCCATCCTTATTGAAATGGGCTGTTGGGGGTAGAAAC